GAATCATGCTGGATATTGTTCTACTGATGCTGTTCCTCTTGTGTTCCTAGACAGATGTGGTGAGGCACTATAAACCTTTCCTGACCCTTTCTTCACATAGCAATTCCCATGAGGTCACTGGATTGTAATCAGATCCGGGAGCATGAGCCTTTTATTTTACTCTCAATTCTAGCCAGACGATGATTGAATACAACTTCACTGCTTCTATCACTTTCTCTGACATGAACTTAAATTTTTTGAGTCTCATTGCTGGTATTTGATATTGCTTTTTCTTAAATACTAGTTCCAATTGGCCATTCAGGTTTTCATTGTTGGATATGTTTTAACAAAAAAACTAAATCCAGATTTTAAATTCTCTTATCAGGGAGATTACTGAAAGTTTTTTAATTTGGTGTTAAAAAATTACTCTGCTAGTAGGAATAAACATCATCTCTTCGCAGGTACGGCTGTCATGAAAGTTGCATTTTAGACCTTGACAGTAAAAAAAATTCTAGGATCAACATGCCTGTACTAGTAACTGTGTATCTAGTACTTCCATTAGCTGTTTTTGGCTGATTTATCAACTGCATAAACTAGAAAAATCTTTTGTTCCTCTACCAAAAAAATGAAGAGAAGGTAGTTCAAGTGGTGTAAAGATTCTGCAAAGTAATTTTAGCAATATTTCTGGAGTTTAGTTGAGATTATGCTTGTCTAACAAATGCTTAGGGAGTCGCAACACAGAATCGGGATGAGTGAACATTAAACCGAATGAGAATTGTTAGACAATTTTAGGTTCTGTTGTTGGAGAGTCCCACGTGCTAGTGGTGGTTTATCAGTGTTGGTGTTCATTGCTGACCACAGAGTTGGCTCTCATTGTAACTGAGGCATAGAGATATGCAGCACAGAACGTGGAAATAATTCTAAGCAGTGTAAAGCAGGAAATAATTTTAATTCTTTTATATGGGATGTGACATAACTGGATGCAAGATGAAACATGTGCTCATATTAATGTAAGATCAGTAGACTTTAACACTTCAGTGGTATAGACTCATAGAGTTGTACAGCATAGAAACAGACCCTTCCAACTCTTTTGCACCAACCAGATATCCTAAACTGATCTAATCCAATTTGGCAGCATTTGGTCCAGATCGTCTAAACTCTTCCTATTCATATACCCATCCAGATGGCTTTTAAATGTTGTATTGTACCAGCCTTCACCACTTCCACTGGCAGCTCATTCCATACACACACTGCCCTCTGTGTGGAAAAGTTGCCCATTTGGTCCCTTTTAAATCTTTTCGCTCTCACCTTAAACCTATGCTGTCTAATTTTGGACTCCCCTATTCTGGGAAAAAGACCGTGGCTGTTCACCCTAGTCATGCTCCTCATGACTTTATAAATTTCTATAAGGTCAGCCCTCCACCTCCGCTCCAGAGGAAAAAGCCCCAGCCGATTCACCCTCTCTGTATAGCTTAAACACTCCAATCCTGGCAACATCCTTGAAAGGATTCAGAGAGATTTGCAAGTTTCACAACATGGTTCCTATAGCAGGAGACCAGAATTGAACATAGTTTTCTAAAACTGGCCTCATCAGTGTCCTGTACATAACATCCAACTCCTATACTCCGTGCATTGACCAATAAAAGCAAGTATGCCAAACGCCTTTTTCAGCACCCTGTCTACATGCCATTCCACTTTCAAGGAACTATGCGTAGCACCCCTAGGTCTTTCTGTTTGGCAATACTGCCTAGGCCCTATGATCAATTGTGTAAGCCCTGCCCTGTTTTGCCTTACGAAAATGCAATGCCTCGCGTTTATCTAAATTAAACTTCCTCTGCCTCTCCTCGGTCCATTGGCCCATGCAATCAAGGTCCCGTTGTACTCTGAGACAGCCTTTTTTACGGTCCACCACCAAGTTTGGTGTCGTCTGCAAACTTATTAACCATACCTCCTATATTCACATCCAAATCATTTATATAAACAACAAAAAGCAGTAGACCCAGCAGCGATCCTTGTGGTTCAACAATGGTCACAAGGTCACAAGTCTGAAAAACAGCCCTCCACCATCACCCTCTGTCTCCGAACTTAAAACCAATTCTGTATCCATTTGGCTAGGTCTCCTGGATTCCATGTGATCTAATCTTGCTAACCAATCTACTATGCAAAATCTTATTGAACTCCTTGCTGAAGTCAGTGTGGTCAGCATCTACCGCTCTTTCTCTTGAGATATCCAGTTTTGTGCTAAATTACAGAGCATCATGCGCAATGCACTTTGATCAATCGGTGCATTGGGTACATTTCTGTTGATTTCAGAATCCTTGCTTCAGAAATTCAGTGTTAAGAATTTATTGCAATTTGGGGTAGGGAAGGAGAATTCATGGTAAAGTTCCTGGTAATGTTCACTGAAAAGCAGCTTTGGAGACTGAGATAACAAGGTGTAGAGCTGGATGAACACAGCAGGCCAAGCAGCATCAGAGGAGCAGGAACGCTGACGTGTCGGATCTAGACCCTTCTTCAGAAATGGGGGAGGGGAAGAGGGTTCTGAAATAAATAGGGAGAGAGGGGGAGGCGGATAGAAGATGGATAATGGAGAAGATAGGTGGAGAGGAGACAGACAGGTCAAAGAGGTGGGGTTGGAGCCAGTAAAGGTGAATGTAGGTAGGGAGTTAGGGAGGGGATAGGTCAGTCCAGGGAGGACGGACAAGTCAAGGAGGCGGGATGAGGCTAGTAGGTAGGAGATCAGGGTGGGGCTTGAGGTGGGAGGAGTGGATAGGTGGGAGGGAGAGAGAGAGAGATCACAAGGTGTAGAGCTGGATGAACACAGCAGGCCGAGCAGGAAAGCTGACGTTTTGGGCCTAGACCCTCCTTCAGGTGGGAGGGAGGTGGGGACGAGCTGGGCTGGTTTTGGGATGCGGTCGGGGAGGGGAGATTTTGAAGCTTGTGAAGTCCACATTGATACCATTGGGCTGCAGGGTTCCCAAGCGAAATATGAGATGCTGTTCCTGCAACCTTCGGGTGGCATCGTTGTGACACTGCAGGAGGCCCAGGATGGACATGTCGTCCAAGGAGTGGGAGGGGAAGTTGAAATGATTCGCGACTGGGAGGTGCAATCGTTTGTCGCGAACCGAGTGTAGATGTTCCACAAAGTGGTCCACAAGCCTTTGCTTGGTTTCCCCGATGTGGATACTAATGCTTTGGATACTAAGATCAAATTACATAGAGGAGAGAATGCTGATTGATTAATCATACTGATCTAATGGAGGTTTTCAGATTTTGGTTTTAAGCTGGAATTTAATTCATACCAATGGCATAGAAATTAAACTCATTGGCTAGATTTCAGCATGGATCTGTGAAATAAAAGACACTGGTCGGATGTCTTCATGGTGTTGCTCTCATATACTGCTCTATAAGACGTAGCAGAAATTAGGCCTGTTTAAACCCATATATAAAAACATGTTATACGTACTAACCCAAAGGAGACAGGTATGGCTCTTATCATTGCCCATTCAGTACATTGTTTTATATTACTTCATTTTTAAGCTGCTTGCGTAAAGGGGGCAGCATTGTACTACAAAGTTACGATTACTTTGAATTTGAACCCTCAATTTAATAACTAGTGGGCCTGTCTTTCTCATGGTTTTTTTTTTCTTCCCTTCCCTATGTTCTTTGACTCTTTCTTGATGATACTTAATTCCTGCCTTTACACTGACATTTGCTTGTATTGCTTTGATTCTGTGCCCACTCTAGCTCCTTGTACCTTGAAACTGACTGTGACTGCAGTTGAACACAGCAAGTGTAGGAGCTGATGAGATGGTTGAGCTGGGCTGGTGTTTCCTAAAATTTCGAAGTGTCTTCCTCATCACCCCTCCCTTAACAACAGAAATTACATATATTATAACATTCTTTCCTGAGTGACCAGCAGTATGCTGCATTGATAAAATTGACATTCAGTAAAAATTACGAGGTTTTGATTGTGCATTATATTTCTGTAATGCATTAATTTGTCACACAAGGACATGAACATATTTCTGTTTTCTTCTGAAATTCGACTGAAGTCCAAGTGGCAGTTCCTTCATTGAATCAACCAGTTGAACATTGCTTTATGTATTTACTTAATGTAGTGTGCCATATGGATATGGCAACAAATTGCTAACCTGCAGTTAAATGACTTGTGTAACAATATTTCTAACAATGCTAACTTACTTCAAGATATTCTTCTAAAAATATGAACTACAGTTTGGTTGGTTTTATAATCCCTGGGTCATTGTATTTGGCTTTATAACTTGCCTCATATTCAAGGTTGAGGAGAGCAAAATTATTGTATGACTGAGTTTCATGACCACTTCTATGAAAGCACAGCTAGCTGTTAGCCATGTTAATGTACCTTGCTTAATTGTAAAGCTTGTTGGTCTGCTAAACAAGCAAAAGCTTCACTTACCCTGTCAGTACGGAGCACAAGAAATCTTGTTAACATTTTGACATCTCAAAAACACAGTTGACCATTAATTCTTCCTGATTTCTACCTTATGAAACAGAACAGGCACGCTTTCAAACTGAACCCATTATTTAATAACTTGCAGTAGCTGACTTATCTAAAAGTCTTTGTGTGGTGTGGATGATGCCAAGGACATTAGATAATAGAAAGTTTGATCTTTTAGTGACAGACTGACTACATCACTTTGCATGGATAAGAAAATTTGTTTTTTTAAAAATGTTTTTAAGTATGTCTTTTAAAAAGCTGTATTGTGAAACCATTACTGAAATAATTTCTTCCACCAACCAACTAATTATAACAAAAATAAATTAAAGTGTATGACATGATGCAAATTTAGGTTGAAAAATCTAAACTAACCTTCATTCATAGCATCAAGTACAATTTAGAGTAACAGAGCCAGTGCCAGAATTTTGGTAACTTTATTCTGCAAATAAAAAATATTAAAGTTCGATTCTGTAGTTAAAAGTTTTTTACTCACAGATTTCCCATTTCTTAAACTGAATGATGGTTACATGAGCTCAGTAATTTATACTTCACATTCTTTATAAGGCAGCTGCTGACACTTGCATTGTCCGTAACCATTTATGATCACCAGTGCGCCTTCCTCGTGGGTGGGCTCATATTCATTATAGGGTACTTGTGTGGATAAATCTGCCATGGGTTGCCTGGCTTGGTGGCGAATTTGCCTCCGGTGTTGCATCATGGAGCAATGCCTTATACGTCTTAGAGTAGGGGGGCAGCATTTCCGTGATATATACACCACAAGGATAATGAGGAAAAAAGAGAACAATAGAGCCATTGTTCCAGTTATTATCCTGTGAGTAAAGAGAGTATTATCAGGCTCAAGGAAGTCTTCAGTAGTTGTTTCTATAGTGGGATTTTCAGTATCCTCTGTACTGGAGCCAGTAGACATTAATTCTGTTGCGTATTCAGTGGATTCTGATAGCTGTGTAGAGTCTGTATAGCCAGTAGTTATTTGTGTGGTAGTTGCTGAAAGATTACTGCAGATTTGAAATCCATGAACAGCATCTAAGATGTCCTCGCCTTGTGTGTGCTGTGGGCTAGCACAAACCATTGAATTCTCCCATCGACCTTGGAAACTGCTTAGCCAGGAGGCCAGGGCACAAATATTTTTGTTACAAACCCACATGTTACTAGAAAGACCGATGTGAGTTAAAGATTTCCATGAATTAACAATCTGGGCACCCAGCGTGGTAAGCTTATTTGAATCCATCAGAAGTATCTTTAGGTTCGGCATTGTTAAGAAAACATTAGACTCAATTGTTCTAATCTCATTTCCAGTTACATCGAGCTTTTCCAGTGTGTCCCAAGTCCATTCCATTCCACATAGCAGGATACTAATTTTGTTCCACTGTAAAAATAGTGTTTGGAGACTGATTAGCCGAGGGAAATGAGCAAAATTAATCTTTGTCAGCTGGTTGTGCTCTAGGTGAAGCTCCTTGAGTTTGATTAATCCTGCAAAGCCATTACGAGCTAGGCTTCGCAAACGATTGTTGCTTATATCCAAAAACTCTAAGCTTCGGCAGTCCCAGAAAACCCTGACAGGAATGGTCCTTAGTGAATTTGAACGTAGATGCAGTGTTTGAAGTTTACGTAAGCTATGGAATTGCTCTGGTTGCAGAGAAGTAATTTGATTAAATGACAGGTCCAGATTCTGCAAGTTAATCAGTTGGCTGAATGTAGTATTTGCCAGTCGCACAATCCTGTTGTAGCTGAGGATTAATTCTTTGAGTTTATATAGTCCTTGAAAGGCATCCACTTGAATAACAGAAATCTGGTTGTGATCTAAATAGAGCCATGTAAGTTGGCTGAATTTTGTAAACTGATCATTTTGCAGTTCAACAAAAGTATTGTGCCTGAGCGACAAGCCAATAGACCCGTGGGAGACATTATCGGGTACTCCTTGAAAACCTTGGGAATCGCAATAAAAGAGCAGCTCCTCGCATCTGCATTTTTGTGGACATGCTGTGCCTGAGGCAGGCAGCATTTTCAACAGCATGCTTATCACACACAGTGCCACCGTTGTTGGCCCCCCCAATGGCCACTTCGAATGCAAACCTGTAGGTGGCAATCAAATGAAATTCATTTAGGTTTCCAGCCTGAACAGTACATCGTATATGGTGATTTAGGTGTTTCATACCCCTCCCCCACAAAAGCTCTGTAGCTAATCCTCATAGAATTGTCGGATGTGATCTTGTTTTTAAATGTGAGAATCGATCTATGCTTTCAACACACAAAGTAATTTGCTGCTCCTTCCCCCCTCATCCCTCCAAGCCCCTGTGTTTCCCTTCCTGTCTTATGAAATGGGATTTTCAAAAACAAACACTTACCCATTCTTTTCTGCACATTGGAGACTGCATTCAACTATCCTTCTGTTCAGACTCCTCGAGCAGTGAGCTGGAAAGAAGTTCCAATGGAAGAGGCAGCTTTTAAAAAGATGCGATTTTAAAAAAAGGATTTCTGTTTCCTTTCACACAAGACAATGGCGAGTATTCCAGTTGAAAGCAAAAGGAAAAATGCCGTAACAAATCTTCACCTATCCCAGCTGTAACATTTCCTCCCAAAGCTTTGCCCTTGCCCTGCTTTAATTTCCACTGGCTTAGAACTACAGAATTTTTTCTCGAGAATGAATGAAAACAAACATTTCCTTTACTTGTCCGTTCAGTTGATTAATTGAAGCCCAGACCTTTGCCTGCACAGCTGGTGGTCCTGTCCTTAACTTGTTGATGGTAATGAAGTACTTGTGCAGAGACTAGCGGTACGAACACATTGACTGAAAGCTCCTTTGGAAAGGAGAGCTGTGCTGGTGCTGCAAGAGCGCAGACTTGCAGATTGGTGGCAGGCTGGCGTAAGCTTGTGACGTGCAATGTTTTTGGGCTTTTCAGTGGCATGATGATGAGCTTCATGCTGCATGCAGTCTGCAAATTGGATGAAACAGACACTGAAGCATTGAAAATGACTAATAAATAAAAGGGGAAGTACTGGATATAATATTTGTCTAGAGTTGTCTATCAATACAATAATGTAGCAGATATTTATTGTTGTGCTAAATTCCTGTCTAGTTTTTAAATAAAATCTATAGGAAGCAAATAGCTTGTCTTGAAAAGCAAATAGCTTTCAGGTATAAGTCCTCTGACCTGAATATAAAATTGAATAGAAGTTTACTTCTACAATTTGCCTCCTTATTTTTCAGGATGCAAAAACACCACTGAATAAAATTTTTAATTTTGTCTGGTTTCATGGAAATAGTAATTTTCTATTATTAGTACATATCAATTTTAAAATATTTGAAAATATTGTGGCAAAATGGCTCCATGTATGACTTTGACTTTTTAAGCTATAGATTAATTTTGTATATTAATTTGTTTTATAGAAATACTTATGTTCACCAGCGTATTTGTATGCTTTGGCTAATTTTATATTGGACCTTAATACAGTATTTAGATGATTAAATATGCTGGCAAAGAAATGAGATTATGTGCATTTTTTACTTTTTCACTACCATCCCATTTCTAAATCCTTGCATGGTATAATTCTTAGTGATGTATGATCTGTGCATACTGTTTACCAGGGTAAACATAGTCATGTGCCTAATGGCACTCAAACATAATCTTGCCTTCTCTAATATTTGCAAGTTCACTTTCAGCAAAGGCCACTGCATAGTTATCAGGAACTCCCATGATATTTATCTTTTCCTCTAACTTCCCTAACCCAAGGTATTAAAGTCTTTGGGATGTTGATAGTGCATCCTTGCTGGCCTCAACTGACTTGGAACAAACGAGAGACTGAATTTAATTTTCTATGCTGAGCTACATCATGAATAAACTAGATGAATTAAGTGATTCATATTCAAAACCCTGGTTCAGGAGCACTCATTGACCAAATTTGTAGAATGTTTTTGTTTTAGTTTTCTCCTAATTTCTCCCAAATTGATTCAAAATCTATGCATGTTTAATTATTGGCCTTCTCATTTTGCCATCGGAACATAGAAAGTTTGTGGCACACGTGAAGGCCATTAAGCTCATTGTGACTTCTAACTTGTTTCCTGCCACTGTCAGTTTTAGTTTCAACTTCCAACTTTCCCTAGGATCCTGTGGAGTTTTGCTTTCCCAAGCGGTCTGTCATGTCAAAAGATCCTTGTCAAAAATGTTTTAAAATCCATATAAACCATTTCAAATGTGCTACAATCGGTTTACTGCACTCAATGCTCACAATATAGTTTCCTCTACATTGGGGAGACAAAATGCAGACTGGAAAACTCCTTTGCAGAACACCTATATTCTGTCTGCAGAAATGACCGAGTTTATTTTCGCCTGCTACTTCAACATCCACTGTGTTCTGTGGCCAGTATCTCTGTCTTGAGCTTGCTGCAGTGCTGCAGCGAAGCTCTGCGGAAGCTGGAAGAACAGCATCTCGTTTTGGACATCCTGCAACCTTTAGGGCTGTATCAAATTCAATGATTTTAGAGACTGAGCACTTTCTCCTGTGTCCTTACCCCGACCCCCACACAGCAGGCCACCTTGTCATGGAGGCTGCTATCCTAATGGTCCCAATTGGAGCTTTGATTCTCTCAGTCTCATGTCCTTTGTCTGCCCAACTATTATTCTACTCTCCTTCAACCGCATCCCCCCCCCACCAAATAAAAAACACAACTCCATCTTCAGGGTATGTACCAACCTTTTCCTAGCTGCAGTTAGTTTTGAAGAAAGGTCACTCAACCCAGAACGTTAACTCTTTCTGTCTACAGATGCTATCAGACCTACTAAGTTTTAACAGCAATTTCTGTTTTAGTTATTTTTGGTATTGTGAATAACATTTATCTTGGAACTAACACCACAAAAAATTATCTGGTCATTTATCTCTATCATTTGTCTATCCTTGCTGTATCCAAATTAGCTACAGTCTTTCCTCACCTTGCAACACTTAATTAGCTAGCTGTTGGGAACATTTGGATGTCTTGAGAATCTGTGAACGGCACCATATAAAAAGAAAGTTCTCCTATTAACTGTAGAAATCACATTTTGAATGCAGGAAACTAAAGCTTTCACGACAATGATATCTAGAAATTTTGCCAACACCTCTGATAAAATGTAACCGTACAGTTTTGCTTTGTTTAATTCATGTCTCAATCCGATAAAGGACATTCTTTAGTGATTAATATTGCTTATTCGGTTTCTTGAGAGTTTCAAAGAATTTTATCGGACATAAATTTTGTAAAATACTTAGGCTTGAACTCTATCATTGGTGATTCAAATTATGAACCCGATAACAAGCTTCCAACATAGGCCATGACAGTGGGGAAAGATGCATTTTTTTTTCCCAGTTTAGGGGCAGTGTGGCGACAACTAAGAAAAAGACGAGGTTGTTCAGTCAGGTATGAATTAACACAAAAAGAAATTTTAAAAGTGACTGCACAAGCTCCAGAACTATCACAGCTTAAACAGATTAAGTTGCAATCATATGGAAGGAAGGATTGGTGCGCATTAAGTCATCTTTACTTTGCTGCAGAGCCTTGGAGAAACTCGTGAAAGAATAACACGCAAAGATTTATCATACTCCGTTGACTCCTTCTGAGAAAATTCTAAGCTCCTCGAGCAAATTGTCACTTGAGAATATTCAATGAGATTTCGGAATGATGAAGTCTGTAAATGGAAACTGCAAGTTAAGCCTTTATTTAGCCTTTTTAGCAATCAGAACTGACACTCCTTTAAAAGCAAGGATTACGATGGACATTCATCAGTTCAAATTCTTAACCCGCTATTTTTCTCTCCTTGGGTGCTACCCCATTTTTGCATGTTAACAAAATTTTTGGCCTTTATTTCAGATTTCCAGCATTAACAGTATTTTGCTTTTTATGTTACTAGTAAGTATTGAGATGATTCCCATGCCAATTCTCAACATTCATCTAATGAATATGATCAAGCATTTAAGCATGTTCAGTGATTTAGGTGCAGTAAACTCAAAACTTGCACTCATTTGCGACAGACACTTTGGATACATAATTTTAAAGAAAACTCATCATTAGAGATGCTGCACGGAACAGTATGTCTTACTCCTCGAGTTGCGTTTTGAATATTTGAAGTAAACCCAGCACAAAATTGTTTCTGTACTGCACAGTACTTTTGGATGCAAAAGACCAAATACTAGAATTACATTAAGTAGCCCTGGTAAAATTTGATATTACTTGCACTGTTAGCAATGCTATCAGTGCTAAAATAGTAGCACTGTAACACTACTGAAATGTTGCTCAGGATAGCACATACAACCCAGATTCTAAAGTGATATGTGAGAAGGTATTTGCAGCATTAATGGTAACTGTACTGACAAATGGTAGTATGTGCACTTAATTTTATAAACATATTTTACAAACATATTTTACATTGAAATTGTAACAAGATCTAGGAGATCCAGTTAAAAGTAGCAATTGACTATTGAGTAATTATACTTAAATTTTTAAGTCATGGAATATTTTGCAGTTTATCTATGTGCGCATATGTTTGTGGTTTCTCAATTTCTTGAATATGCAAATACTGTTGCAAACCAGGTGTCTCAACACTTGCCATCTTTTGGCATCAGCACATATTTGTGCCTGGATGCAATTTCTTACATTACCAAATCTAAAATGCAAGCTCAGTGAAGGGACACATGGATAATTTACACTGGTTGCTGACATTGACTGGTTGTACTAGTCTCTTGCAAGTTGCACTCCTATATCATCTTCGTATTTAAAAAGTCATATTCAAATGCTACAAAATCTCAGAGGTCAAATCTTTCCTTTTGACCCAGATTCCCAATCCATTTGATGGCCCTAAATTGCTGTTTCCCAAACTTGTTTCCCTTTGTAATCCAATTTTGAAGTTTGAAAGTTATAACCCTTTTGCGAAAATAGAGTGGGTGTTTTTGTTTATTCATTTTGTGGGGTGTGGGTGTTGCTGGCTGGCTGTCCCTAGTTGCCCTTGAGAAGGTGGTGGTGGACTGCAGCAGTCCACCTGCTGTGGGTGGACCCACAATGCCATTGTGGAGGAAATCCCAGGTTTTTGACCCAGCAACAGTGAAGGAATGGTGGTTATATTTCTGAGTCAGTAT